AAAAAAAAGTAGAGATGGACAAATGCATGGGCTGAGCGTATTGGCCGATATCAGTCCGATTCTCGTTAAATGAATTAACTGTATACCTCGCCATGTGAGTAAAGGCATCATGCTCTACCAGCGAGGCCAAGGTAGAGCTAAGGAGAAATATCTATCCGAACTGAAATTCTCTCCCACCAGATCAGGCTGTTCACACTCTACTTCCACCTACCTCTCTACTTACCCAGCGCCTAAGCACACATCACTTTGTTTTTAACTATAAGCTTTATCAAAATAGGGTCGTTTTAAGCCTTGCTTTAAAAATAGACAGGTTGACAGGTCTCAGGGAATAAAATTGGTTGTTGGTTCCACAGGAGAGGAGCCTGATAACTAAAAGATCTGCCTCCCATTCTACGACTGTAGACGACTTCTTTGTACATAGACTAAGACCCAACTTTATTAACCCCTTGGGATTACTCCTTCAGGAAAATTTTGGTTCCAGTAGCTTATATAGAATAAAAGAGTTAAAGCAAGATTCCCATTAAAGATACAAATACAACAGACAATATGAAAAGACTGTATATGGTACCAAAAAAGCATAAAAAAACAAAAAATGTTGTAATTGAATATGCTTCCCATATATATTAAATATCTGCACAGTAGAGAGCTAAGGGAAGACTACAAAGTAATTTTCTTGGATTATTGCACTTGCACTGCAGAGATGTACTGATCTTATAAATAAGTTAAAAAAATTACACAGGCTACATGTGGGGGAGGGGCTTGTGCTGCATAATGCATTATGTGTGCGTTAATTTTATTCACTATGCCACTTTCTCCAGTATCTAATTAGAAAAGGACATTCAGCTTTTTAGATATGGTGTGATTATGGTTCTAAACCAAAATATCAAAACTTTGATATTCTGGAACCGAGCCCTTGCTTACGTTCAATGAGCAGCTATCGGGTTGAAGTTGTAAAATATGCACACATTTGCTTTACTATGACTTCATTACAACAGTGAAGTCTGCTGTTTCTTCTTAAAAAGGGGAAAATCTTATTTTTCTCTTTTGTTTTTACTTCCAGCATCTCTGTTAATGTGTACAAAGTGACGGGTCAGTTTCCATGGAGCTCACTGAGGGAGACGGATCGAGGCATCTCTGCAGAACTTGGTGTAAGTACTGCTTTTGCCTAATGCTTTGTCACATTTTCCACTGTAAGAAATACTGTTTATTTTTCTTCTAAATATATTGGAAATAGTTTTTAATACTTTTTTGTCATTTATCAATAAGATGAGGAAAAAAGGATTTAAACTCAAGGCATCCATGTGTAAAAGAACATAAGTCAGAACAGAATCTCTTATTTTCAAACCTTATTCACACAGTTTCCTTTGTGGCGGACCAGTCAAACCATCAAGTGGGAAGGAGTGTGGAGAGAGCTGGCCTCTCTGGGTCAGACGGCATCTTTTGCCGTCCGTGAGGAAAGCGGTCATTCCCTCAAGTCTTCCCTTTCGGTATTTTTCTTCTCGTATATCAATTCCTCCTAATTCGCCGTTTGGGGTTTCGTGTTTGAGAGAATTGCTTGTAAAGTGGTTTGTGCTGTAAAACTGTTTCTGTTTTCCAGCATGCAATGGTCATTGATACCAGAAACTCCTCCATCCTTCCAAGGAAAGGCGGATTACTGAAGATCCATCAGGTTTGCATTGAGTCCTTCATTGCCGGGTAAAAGAACAATGTGACGGATCTATAAAACACTAAAGTTTTTTTGTTTGCATAGGAGCTTGCTGGGTACACAGGAGGTGATGCCAGTTTCCTGAAGGAGGACTTTGAGATCCAACTAAACAAACCTCTCCTTTGGCACTCGGTGAGGGTTAACTTTCAACTATTCATCCACTAATCAAAGTTTATCATCCTAAAAACCTTTTAATTCAGGTTTATGCATAAAAAGGTGTTTTCAAAAAAGATTCACCATCTAATATATTTATTCTGTTTTTCCTTTGTTTCGCTGATAACCAAAGTTAATAAAAAAAAGTTAACCTTAAGAAATCATTTAAACAGAACCGGCCTGACAAACTGAGAAAACTGCATGAATGATTCAAAGCACAACAGCTGCTCCCAAAGCTTAAACACAACAAACTACTTTTTAGAGAAGCAATAAAATTAGGGGAGAAAACAACCTGCAAGAATATGTCTTTGAAGCATACCATCCAAATTCAAACTTTTTAATTTATCAGGTTTCACAAATTCTTGAGACACAGTTTAGCTCCACCTCCATTAAGCTACTTTAAGAACAGTTGGTGCTTGTACGACACATGCGTTAAAGCAGCTAGCAGATGTGACTGCGAAATGCCTTCCAGAAAACGTACCATCTATCAGTGGAACTACACTGTGGATCAGTTTGCTACCTTCACTCAGCGGAAGTTATAATATGATGATTTGACACATTTAATACTACAACAGCACTCGGAAAGGCCGACCTATGAGTCATAAACTAAAAAACTCACTATTAATCTATCTGGACCATAAATGTTCTGCTCTCAGCTCCTTCATTCTCTCTGCTTCCTTATTTAATCAGCAGATCGAGACTTCGAGCAAGGCGAGGCTCACCTTTCCCGTCTTTGTGTCTTCAGTATAAATCAGCTGGACTTTTTGTGTCCGATGCTGAAGCTGTAATTAATCACTGCTGCCACCCTCTGGTTCAGGGGGGAACTGCTTGTTCCTCCAAATAATTAAAATAATCCTTAAAAAGATTCCTGCATCTGAATTAT